CTCTTGCTCTCCTTTTCATTTTCGCCACTGTCCCTTTCACACCACTGCTGCTGTTGCTACTCCCTCAGAAGAAGAAAAAAAAACAGCGCAGGGCTCGGTCCCACTATCAATGGGACCAGTTATTTGTGCCTGTTCCTCAAGGGGCTCCCACCCCATTGTCTGCGGGGTCACGCCCCCTAAGACCAAACCCTTTGACCCAGGCTGATGGATTCATGTCGCTGGACAAAGAGCTTGATTGAGTTTTAACAAGGGCCAAAGTCCATCTTTTAAGTGGTTGATGAATATACATGAAGGGAGAGTGGCGATGAAGAGGGGTGAGAGAAAAACCAACACACAAGTGATAGGAAGCAAATAGTAATCCCTCCTAACAAGGAGACCTATGAAAAGGTATTAGCATGACAAGAGCAGGTCAGAGTGGGGAGGTGGGGGGGCTCTGTTGTTCTGGGCAGTAGTGTAGTGGCCCCCCTCACCAAAGGGGAGCTTCTTGGTTAATTGGAACACTTGTCCCAGCATCCAATTTCTTCATCAAGGGGAAAACAAAATCACAAAAAGACATCACAAAGGCTCATTTAGACGGAAAGTTGGAAAGGAGTGGGTTTCTCACAGTTAAACATGAGGTGAACCAGGCTCCCCATTTCCCCTCCTCTCCCGGAGAGCAGCCAGAGGTCCTTGATGGGATGCTGGAGTCGACCCTTTCCCAGCCACCCTGCCGTGCTCAGACTGCTCCTCCGAGCTCCCCGATGTCTCTGGACAGCACACTGTGCGTCTCGTCTTCATTCAAAGGTTACCTGAACTCAACGCCTTAACGCCTTAAACATCTTCCGTCAGTTCATCGTAATTCCATGTCAGGGTCCATAGGAGCATGTTGCTGAGAGTTTGACAAGAGCATCAAAATACCTATTTCCTAGCATGCAATGTGGCAGCTAGGCCGCCAATGAAGTCTTTCAATATTCTACTCCCTGTTAGCAGGAACAGGTACTGTATGAGGCCTTCACCAAATGGGACCAGAGCATTAAAAAACAATCATGTAAATACAAATAACCCTCCAAAGAGATACCAACAACGGCTAATTGCTACAGGTGCTGCTTAGCAGCTCTAGAATAGATACGTTTACCAGAAGCATTCTGATCATTAAAGAGAAATATGATTGCCATACAGGGTACTCTGCAGGAGCCTTTCATTTAGTGATTTGTTGGTTTATACTCATTGGTACATTTCAGAAAAAAAGTATTGTTACTTGCCAAAATGATTTCATGTTTCTATTTCCAGGCCTTGGTAGAGAGCTAAAGGCCTTGGTAAGAACTGAGATTACTGCCCTTCTGATTGGTACTTAACTATAGCATAGTTTAAGTAGAGTCAATGCACACAGTTCAAGGAGGGTTTAGTCCATCTCCTTACCTAAGACTTGATAAAAATAAATGTATCTGTCCTATACCTTAATAAAAGGCTTTGATATCTCAGCTCAACATTCCATTTCAAAATGTAACACTGCTAAAGAGCATCACAAACGGCGCTAGGATGGTTTGTCTTTCATTCTGTCTTCTGTTGCTCTGTATCTTGAAAAAAAGACAATGAAAAATGTTGGCCTGATGTGAGCTCTCGTCTTGAATTCACACGTATTCCCTATGTATCCAGGAATTCGCCTGCTGCCAGTGCTCAGAGGCCTCTGACTGCCCAGTGGCCCTGAGACAATCAGTTCCCAAAAAGTGATATAATTACTAGGGGTCAGGAGGGTGAAGAACTGGGAATAAAAGACATCCACCTTCTCCGCTCCCCCCTTTCTCCCCACCATAAAGCATCAACAACAGGCCAATTTGTCCAAGAGGCCCTGTGCCCACACCCCCCTGCTGCGTTATTTAGCGCCTCTCCTGCACTTCAATGGCAGGTACTGATTAGAGAGGCTGCAATCCCGCCCCATCCCCCTTCCAAAACAGCCCCCCTCATCCCAGCAATCTTTAATCTGATTACAGGCTTTATACAGCTCTTCAGACAGGGACAGCCCTGGGGGACAAAGGCGGGCCAAGTGGCTTCAGACGCAAACTCTCGGGGCTATGTGATCCGAGTGAAGACCCCGCTCTCCTCACTTCCACTAGTAGTCCTTTTCAGGCTGGGCTATAGTCCTGCCTGCCCACCTGCCTGCCTGCCTGCGCTGCTCACAGAAGGGATTAACAACTACATCTCTGTTACAGCGCTGCTCCCTCCTTCTCACATAGCCCCTAGTGTGCTTGTTTGATAAGCCAAAAGAAAGAGATTTGACCCAACTCTTTTTCTCTCTCACTTTTTTTCTCTCCCACACGATCCACAGGCACGTCTAAGCCCCAGTACCTACAACTCCCCCCCTCCTCCATGGGAAAGTTGTATAAAATCACTATCCCGCCTACCCCCCCCCCCGCAGTCCAACTAATTTGTACCTTGTAAGCCCCTAAGCCTGAGCTAGCTGCCCCTCTGTTCTCCACTTCTACTTTCCCTTTCTTGGTTTTTCATGTTTGACTTTCCTCGCCTGCAATTCAGTTCCTGGCAAAACTACTGCAGGGCCCCGAGGCCGCGCTATTGGACTCATGCAAAGCACCTATGCTGCCCTGAGGAGCAGACAGCAGCAGCTCAAGAAGTAAACAAATAACAAAATTAAAAAAAATAAGGTCGATACCAGACTAATCTGCAAAAAAAAAAAGAAATTGCTTAAATGACATTACTATTCAAAGAAAAAAAATTAATACTTATAGGCACCATCACATAATTTGAGACATTTAGCACAACCTGGAAATCTGATGAGGCACAAAGAACATAAAAAATAAAACAAATACCGAAATTTTATTTCTATTATTTATTCATTACCCACCTGAAAAAGGCTCCACAGCCGAAACGTAGTCTCTTTTCTTTTCAGCATGGAATAAACCTTTGCCTGTAATTGGCTTCATCACTCTGTTCTCCTCCCCACTGAGAGCTGGTGTGTGGGGAGCGTTCTGGCGCACTATGGCTGCCGTCACATCATCCAGGTGGGGCTACACACTGGTGGCGGTGGAGGGGATCCCCATTACCTGTACAGCACTTTGAGTGGAGCGTCCAGAAAACTGCTATATGAGTGTAAGCAATTATTAATTATTATTATTTATTACTACACTGTTCTACTTCAAGGACTTATTTAGATGAGAATGACAGTGTTAGGAGTGACCAGGGCTAAACAGTTGACAGTTTCACACAGCCCCTTTCTTGGGAAGCAGTTCAACTCATTTAAAGTTAGCGTTCGTTTTTGAAAATTGCAACTGTACTCTTTAAGCATTTTGGCCTAAAACTTAACATTAAATGTTTTAAACTCAGAGATGTAAAGACAATGATTTAATTGAAGAACAGGCACCTTGCACTGTCACTACAATGAGTTTAATAAGGACAACATGCAGCGATAATCATATCTACCGCTCTTTCCATCATCAGAATTAAATGAAGACCTGCTGTTGTGAAGAAGCTATTGACAGAAGGGACAGTTGTATTTGGTAGTTAGAGATCCAGTTGATGGTCAACCCTTTTCTGAAAGAAGCTGCTCTATCCAGCTTCTGGAACTGCTTTACAAGCTTTGTGTGTTCATCATTCACCCTTGACCTGCCATGCAAAGCAACAAGCCCCCCCCCCCAAAAACAGCACTATCGCAGGGATACCCCAAACCCCCCGAAGAAGCATTCCCACCTGTTCAGTTAGGTTTGAGCTGAGAACTGAGCTGTGGTTTGAGAACATCAGCGATAGGAGCTTCTGTGCTCATTATGCGGCAAGGAAACAAAAGGGGGCTGTATGAGACATGAGGAAAACCCCTTTCTGGCTCCACCTGTAGGAGTGCAAGTGTGACATTTCACTGGGTCACCCCTTTGACCCCGAGCATGTCGGAGTAAAAGGCTAAATAAACAGCACTAACACATGGGGGCACTTCCCTTCACACTGCTGTCCCAGAGCAGCTCAAGCTGGTGACCTTGTTAAACCACTGAGAGCCATTTGACCCCCGACTACAGCCCCCTTCAGGCCTCCAGTGTCCAGGGAAGCAACCAGGAGAAAGCATAATGCTATGAATGGTGTCTTTCACACAATGCCTTGCACACTTCATTATTCCACAGGGAATATTCCCAGCCAACCCAGTGGAAAGGCACAGAGGAGGTGGGGGGGGGGGGGATTGATTGGCAATTAATGACAATGAAAAGGTTGAGTTCCATTAGGCTTTAAATTAGGTTTAAAGTTAAAGTTCAGCAGGCCTATACTTTTGAGCAATAGAAAGCAGCCATTTAAATGATAATCCCTCAACTGCATTTCTTATGCTCTTCTCCTAAACTTTGTCAGAACATAGGAAAGCCTCTCAGGCAAAGCCCTGAGCTCCATGAAATGGGGAGATCCTTGTTGGGTTACCATGTTCTCAGAAGCAGAGCAGAATAAAGCAAAGCTCAGTAAAGGAATGATTAAACCAGCAAAAAAACTATTACAAAAACACTAGGCAAAAACAACAAGGTAATCATGCAGGGTACTGTTCCAGGCAGTGGTTTGACTATTGGAATAAACTTCTGTTTTCCTCAATGAATCTATATGAAAAATGAATATCAGTGATGAGCTGGAGTGTATAATGTGGCAGACTGGGGGAAGGTCAAAAGTCAAAACAATTCTGACAGCACAATTTAACTGCACAGGATGAAAATGGCGCACTGAACAAGCCAGCAGAGTCAAGATTGAGGCACAGAGCCCATGACTCACTTATCTTGTCATTTAGAATTACTGATGAGGTTGTAAAACAGTTCACGAGTTAAAATAACGTAGCTCCACAGTTACCACAATTCTGTATCTGTCCGAAGAAGCTCAGAATACACATTGAGAAGTATAAAGAAAAATGCAAGCACATGGGTCATTACATGCAATACATAAACACATATTCCAGTGACCTCTGCAGTCAACAAGGAAAATCTCACATGTGAAGTTCCACTTATTTCTAGAATCAATGTTATGCAATTATAAAAAAAACAACACCAGTGTTCTCAATGTGTTGATCATTTATTAAAGAAAAAAAAGCTTTATTGAACATTCAAATGTAGTACCTTTACAAAAATATGGCAATATGAATGTGCTACATTGGTCATATGGCAAACACCATTTTGTTTTCAGAAATCCTTTAAAATAGAGAATCAAATCGTACCACATTGCAGAAAGTTCAAAAAACAAACAGACAAAACACTTTAATCACAAGCCATCAAAAAACAAAACAAAGGGGCTCATGAGAGGTGTTAATGAAACAAATCTAAGAGACAGACACACTGAATGGTATCATTTGATTTTCTGCCGTTCTTATCAAAGACCTCAGATTTTATTACAAAGGTTACAGCTGCTGTAACACAGATCTCTTCTGGGCATTTGCTATATATTAATCTTGTCCAGTGTTGAGCATAAGGCACAGTCATTGCATTTACGATTTTGTCTTGGTTAAGAAATGTCAGATACAACAAATATGTTCCTTTTGTTGTGCTACAGTGCATCATGTGATAGAAGAACTGAGATGGTTATGCATGTGACTAATTATCCACTGATGTAGTGTTTCTTTAATGGGGGAGGGAGAGTAATGTGAAAGCAATCACTTTATATGGAACAGACAATGTAGTATGGCCTTTCTATACCCATTCTGAACAGACAGTTGCTAAAACACATAAAAACCATAATACCTTGTCTACACAATATTTGCAAATGATAAAATAATCATAAATTATTCACATAGAAATAGTAGAATGGCAGGAGGTTTTGCTTTGTTCTCACACGTCGCACAATCGAGAGTCTCAAACATACAAGAGCTCAGATACAAGCCACAGAAAATATGGATGTACCTCCATTTAAAGTAAGAAACAAAGAATGTTTCTAATTTTCTTCCATTGCAAAAATTCTTCATTGTTCCCCTTGATTATATAAGCAGCAGGTAGTGTTTTAAAGCTAAAAGTGAACTTTAAAAATATTGCTAAGGCTATACTGAGCAGCACTGAAAACACAAGAATGGAGTGTGGAAAACCAACAGCATCTGTTGCATTTTTTGATGCTTCTCAGTATAGTTCCATAGCTAGGTTTTTCACAGTGCAATTTTCACATTAATCCCTTACCTAATGTGTAGCCAGTTTTATATTGATACTAACGCTAGCTTCCAAAAAGCATTCTGTGAAGTAACAGTACAACAGTAACAGAGATGTCCATTCAGGCCTGAAGTTACAGCACATCAATGTTCTACACCAATTTCCAAAATAGATTGGAGCACTGCAATTCATCCATCTGTCCCCTTTCCAGCTCCACCGCTGATGTGTGCTCTTCTAGGCGATCAGCATCATCGCAACAATGTGATGCTTCATGTCGATGATATAAAGGACTTCATAGGGTCAGAGGGGCTTTGCTTCTAATTTTAATCAAGCTACTGCAGAACAGGCAGGCTGGAGTGAGTTTTATTTCCCTTTCTGGCTGAGGTCCCGGGACAGTGGAAATCAGAGTCCCAGTGCAAACCTTTGCTCATTCATAGTCATCATCCTGACTGGGGACAGGAAGATGTGGGCTCACCCAGTCCAGTGATGACAGAATTAAAGGGAAAGTGTCTTCTGGCTGTTGAACTAGATGCCATGTTCCATTGAGAAGTGCAATTCAGACCTGGGTAGAATAAAGACTTTTAGAGCTCTTGTTTACTCACACAGTTAGTATTTTAATAATGCTAAAAGACCAATATTTTTATAAACTGGACAGTAGAACCTCTTCCATGTGGTTATCTATTGCATCTTTGTACATTCAAGTGAATGAGGTCAGTGAGAATAATGATTGAAGTAGTATTTACTGCTTGGTATTTTTTTTCCTGAAACATTGATTTAATAAAAAACAGCTCAAAACCTCTCACTCTCTCAAGTTAATTTGTATACGACACTATTAATGTGAATTATGGTGTTCTTAAGGTATTACATCATCCAAAGGCTTATTTGCGGTCAGAGAAATGCCTTTTGGTTTGCGAGAGATGTTTTATCTCAGAGAAATTCAAAATGACGCCTCTTGCAAAAGTAACAAATGAACAACTTGCCAATGCATATGCAAAACTGGCCTACGAATTTTTGAAAAAAAAAATTTCAACTCAGATGGCTTAGACGACCCCCTTAGTTCAGAACCCCTGCTTTCCTTTCTCCCGTATGCAATCACCATGTGCTTGTAACGGATAGGAAAGGCCTGTGAAATTAATGATCTCAACAACCTGATGGTCAGAAACATACAGATTCTGAAAACAGTATGCTGCAGAGAGCTATATCCCTTCACTGGACATGTGCAAGTACGTTTTCTTTGAAATCTCATGCATGCGTTTAATTTAAATACATAGCATAGGGAAGAGGTTGTCAGATGGAGAAGGGGGAGGGGATTTTTTAAATGCTTCCAGTCTCTTTCCATTAAAATGGAACTGTCTCTTTGACAGACAGGGCATTGCTGGGTCATCTGACAGTGAGGCCATCATAGGTAAAAATAGACCTCTAAATCCAGTTTTATCATCTTTAAATCAGGCTGAATAAAATCTGGTGAAACCACAAGGAACACTCTTGGCTTTTCATTATTTAATTGAAAGACACTGGTTTGGAGAGAAGGGGGAGGCTGCAGATTTAATTTAGAACAGCTTAATGGCGCCATCTTCTGTTTAAATTTCACAGTGCATCAAATCCCAGGAAGATGCGTTTTGCTTAAAATAAGGTGACATCCAATGTCAGAACTATTTTATTTAAAACAAGGAACTGAACAACTACTTTTTCAGTCAATATCAGATTTCCAGGATCTCTTTTATGGACAAAAACAGTTGAAATGATCTACAATGTAACAACTTAATTTGCCAGACGAATCCAGTTCTGTTTAACAGTTCCTTTTACAGCATGAGTGACACTTTCATAGTGTACATTCGGTATGTCACATATGACCTCTCATACCATCAGGGCAAAACGAGACCCATTTTGACACATAGGGGCAGCACAGAATTGTACAAGAACAGAAGTGACTGTACACAAAACACAAAACACAGTGCACTGTCTGCCTGAACAAGGTGTTTCTGTCAAGGCAAAGTCTGACACACACCATCATGATTTCAGTGACACAGAAAAAGACCAAACAAAACTCCAGGCTTGCCTTTGCTTTTCATCAGCTGTGACATGCCTCTTCGTTTACATGCTACAACCGCGTAAATATTTTGACTCTCATTTTTCTATTTGGCTTAGAATATCATTTTCCAAGAAAATAATAAATACACGTCCCGGAACGACCACAAACATCACCACTGTTTCATAACTGAATGAAATGAACGGTTCCTCAACCTTCCAAGGGTATCTAGTTGGCAAGATTAACAGCCTGTTAAGATACTTTACCTTAAAAATGGACATTCAGGGGCCTGTGTGCTTGCCCATCATGTGGTTGTTGTATTCTACAGGGGGTGGAAGGCTCTCCTCATCTTCAGGAACCTGTCCAAAAAAAAAAAAGATTGTAAGATTGTATGGTCAGATCAATCAGCAGTTTTACAGGATAGTTATTAGAAATTAATACTTGGATCAATTAAATAGTGATCAGTAAAGCAAATGAATTCAACAAAGCAAGTATTCAGATGTTTGATTTATACAATCTCTCATTTCTCTTCTGGCTTCAAGGCCATTTTACTTGCTTAGGTGTTCTTAATCTTTAAAGCTGGGCAATTGACAAGGTGAATTAAAAGGCGTACATATTGCATATTACTGTACCTGGAAAAACGAAATATGTACTTCTATATGAAATGCAATAAAACATGGTTAGAAACAGTCTGGTGAATATAAAAGTCTGTGTTATTCAAGTTCCCTTGCAGACATTTTATATATATGCAGGGCTGCTGAAGAACTTTGTTATATCAGTGGATGACCTTCAAGTGACAGGTGAAGCATTCTAAGAATACCTGTACACTCAAACACAAAATAGCATTACAGCAACATGGTCCTGACAAATACTGGTAGTGCGCTTTATGAAGGGCATGTACCCACACAGCAGTGTTTCAGATGTAAATGCAGCTGGTGAAAGTCACCTGCCCTCTATTCTTACGCTGACATGTTTTCCCCACTTGGAGACAGGCAGAGCATTGGGAAGTACTTGCAGTTAATGAGAAGGAGCTTATCCCAACTCAATCACCTTCATCGACTTGTCAAAACAAAAACAAAGGGTATCCTAGGAGACTATTTTGCTCAGGGAACTCTAGGTAATTCTTTTAGGAATAATTAATTTTAGCTAAAAATATCTATGCAGAAGAATCCAGAGAGATACTGTAATGTTCTAAATGTATGTAGTATACCAGATTAAAAGGTTTTTAATCACTACTTTAGGCAATTGACCATTTACCAGTAAAACAAGTGGGGAAAAAGCATTGGTTTTCCAATTTATTACTACTCATTTAACCAAATAAGTAGCTAGTAGCTTGTAACCCCCTTTTTAATAACTTAATTTTTCTATAGCATGCCATTAATAGTTTCCCCTCATGGGTTTCCCATACCAATGGCCATCTGAAGTCATTCAAATGGTGAGATTTCAAAGACCTTTGCCTACAAATCTTACTCAGCAACAATCTTACCTCCCAGTAAACTTCATCATTAAAGCAGTTCTCATCGGCAGGGTCACCCCAGATCGGTAGCTTCAAGATAATACCTGCGATAAGAAGGTGAAGTTAACTGTGAGACAGCGTTCTGCCCGTCTGTACCATGTTTGACCACAAGATGGCAATCCAGGACCAAAAACTAATAATACTATCGCAACAATTCTTACAGGTGATGCATTATGCCACAGCACCAATCAAGAAAAAAAAGGCAACAGTAAATCTACCCATCTCATTCATCATGCTAGAAATAACACTAAGCCACATACCTAATGCTTGCTTACGTCTGAAACAAACACAATAAGAATTTGATCTTTCAGTTCACTATCGCACTTCTCACTTACCAACTATTGTTCCTCCCACTAACCCAAAGGCTAAGGCCACAGCGATTCCAGCTGCCTGATGTCCTCCTTGAATCGAGGCGGTCCTGTGTGCAAACTCCCCCTCAAAGCCAAAAGTCAGTTTAAACCTGGAGGTCAAGAGACGACACGTTTACGTCAACCAGTCAGCATCGAGTGCAATGAGAGAGCTTTCATTGTCCAAAAACCTCCATTATCTAGAAAACTCATTCTTTGCGAAATGGGTGCTTGCTGGCTGTGTCTCAGGCAGTGGGCAGTTTGGGTGGGCCTACAGGCTACGATTTTGTTGGCTATATCATCAGGACCCAGGGTAACCACAACACCTCTCAATCCTCAGGGTGTCTGCAAACCCTTGCAGGAAGGAATGTGCAAAATGAGCTCACCCCTCTTCGCTGTAGACCTCCTTGCTTGCAGCTGCAGCAGTGATAGCGCCAACAATGCCCCCTATAAGGCCTGGCATGGCATGCAGGTTGTGTATGCCACAGGTATCCTGAATCTTGAGCTTCGACTCCAAGAAAGGCTGTGAATAACAAGGTTGGCAGTTATAATGGGTATAAGTTGAACACCATTTCTAGATCCTACTGGACTCTCTGCCAGAGTGAACAGTTCATTCTATGCTTCTTAGTAAATGTACTGGCATTTCCGACAAAAATCTCCAATTCATATCTTGATCCTTCGTGCAATGCTTAATGGGCACGTTCTTCCATAACAGAGCACGGTTATTAATTTAACACTAAAAAATGTTGTACTCACCGTAAGGTAGACGTAGCCTAGTGTGGAGATGATGCCACAGCAGAAGCCAACAATCAGGCAGCCATAGGGTGTGAGCATGAACTCTGCGGCTGTCCCTGCAGCAACGCCTCCAGCCAGGGTGGAGTTCTGGATGTGCACCTGCAAAACAGGCTCTGGGTTAAGAGGCAGACTCAAAAAGCCCTCACAGTACTAGGTTTGCATGCAGGTCGAGGGAGGTCCCCAAAACATGGGAGAATTGCTTACATATTGCGAGGAAATGCCACACATAAGAGCAACCAGAGGCTCACGAGAGAACTGTAAATGTATTACCATCTCTGTGTTAGTGTGTAAAAGACAGTAAGGGCTGAAGACACATCAAGGAGTGTGTCTACAATATCAATTGTAAAGACACACATAACCACCATTAGCTTAGTTGTGTAGCTAGATATATATGATGGGTGTAACGTACCATGTCAAGTCTGCCCTTCTTCTCTACAACACTGGAAATCATCACTGCAGTGACCACACAGGATGCCAGACATAGGTAGGTGTTGATAGCAGCCCTGTGTTGTCCGTCCCCGTGGCCAGCGATGGCCGAGTTGAAACTGGGCCAGAACATCCAGAGGAATAGGGTGCCTGGGAGGGGGAAGAGAAACTGCAGTGTTAGTCAGGGCTGGAGGAGAGTAGTTTGAATAGTGCCAAGGTGTTTCTGCAATGCAGTCTCAGTACAATTGTTAACCTTTAGAAACAGTAATTGACAGCTTAATTACATCATACAACTGCAGTACACCTGTCTGAATGTTTTCCTAAGCCAAGAATGCTACCTGATCTCATACAGTAGACGTTTAAACCTGTAAGGAAGGCATCAGGAAGGTTTGTTTAGCAATGACCACTCCTAAGGAGAGTATATACTGTATGCTGAGCAGTGGCTGGGGTGGTTTTCAGGTTACAAACCTCATTCTCAACTTACCAATCATGGCAAACACATCAGAGTGGTAGACAGAGCCTTGCAGGCGTTTGCTTTGGTCTAGATTTGGTCGATAAAGAACTCGAGAGATGGCCAGACCATAATATGCCCCAAATACATGGATAACCATGGAGCCACCAGCATCCCGAGCCTGTTATGAACACACAAATATGCATGCATTAAGCATCCCAGAGGTTTTCCCACAATGTATTTTGTCATTCAGTGGATATCTAGGAGCTAACAAATGCAGAACACATTCTGGGTATAAGAAAGAGAATTAATTTTATTTTATACAGTATAAAAGGAATTGATTACATTTCACAATGCACCAGCTTCAGGTAAGCATGGGGCAGTATTCAGACTCACATGAATGAGGTTCAGGATGATGTACTCCTCCACTGCGAAAAGAGTAACTCCAAACAGGGTCATCACCATCAGCTGAACTGCACTGACTTTCCCCAGCACCGCTCCATAGGCAATCAGACAGCCCGCAACACAGAAATCAGCATTGATAAGGCTGGGAAGAGAGTGAAAGTATTAAGATGCTGGATAGATAGGTGAAAGCACAGTGAGAAATGGATGATTATTGCATCATTATTGTAGCTTGAGCCATCAACTCAGTGATACTGGCAATCACATTTAACCTGGCATGTAGTTCACTTGTTGAGGATCATGTTGAATAAGAACTGAAGGACAGCAAATATTTTGACAACAGTCCATCCTAGATGACTTGGTTTTATTTTGGCTTTCTGACATAGCCGTACCAATCATAAAGGCTTAGATCCGTCATCAATTTAGGTCACTCATTTCTTCAATCTAAAACACCTTGCGATTCTTATAATTACTACATGCTCAAATTTAAAGAATTATTGTTGCAATTCACAGTAGTTTTGTTTTAAAATCTGGCATCAAAAGACTTCATTAAACTTTATCAAGCCCATCCAGATAGGAAAGAAACTTGTTCCAAGACCACTGAGAAATTACAGATGAAATTGACAACAGGTTTAATCTTACTTTTCTATCCCAATCTTGATCTTCCCATCGTTGAAGTCCAGATGATGGAACCAGCCCTGCATTAGCAAAGCCCACTGGATTCCAAAGGCAGCAATCAGGAAGTTGAAGCCCACAGCCCCAAAACTGTAGCGCTTCAGAAAGGTCATGAGGAAGCCGAAGCCCACAAATATCATCACGTGGACATCCTGGAAGCCTACCGAGAGAAAGAGAAGAGGAACATGGGTTGGAAAGGTTCCACAAGGTTGATCAGAGCCTGAGAAAGCAGTCAGTCAGCCTAGTGGGAGGACCTTCGAGCTCTGAATGGACAGCATTCCAATGTGTGGCTGGTGGCTAGGCTGGAGTTCTTAACTTCCAAACCTTCACAGAAAATAATGACATTTAAATGTACTTTCGTAAATTAATTATACCAAAAGTCTTTAAATAAAAAAAAGCTCCTAACTAGTAAGGTAAAGTTTTAAGATGCGGTACTTTTCATTTCTAAGTATGACTTGCTTCATAACCTGTTTAACAAGGAATTTAAGCAAAATGATCTGGGCATCCTGACAATTAAAAACAGTCAAGAATTATTCATTCTAGACTGCAGTATGTAAGCCACCAACATGTTTGAGCCGTTGCTCTGGTTTTGATCTAAGAACTGTCCTCACTTTTCCCCCATCCTGTTTTTCTGTGTTTATTTTCAAATCATAAGCAGGTCCTGTCATATCGCATTATTTACATTACTGGGGGGAAAAAATCTGAAGAACATGATCACGTGCATTCTCTACAAATTCTACAATTTCCTATCCTGTTTACTAGGATAAAGCTCTGGTCAACATTTACATTATTTCTTTCTCTGCTTGACCTGTTTCAGTGAAATGATTATGGTCACTTCAGATGGTCATACTTCAGTATGAATTGCTGATGCATATCTGAATAAAGCAGGAGTAGATCTGCTCAAACTCCAAACAACAGTATGAGACATTTCTCCTTATAAATGTTAGATTTAAGGGGTAAACCTTTTATTGTAAATGTATTGTCTCTTCTACAAATACTATATGGATATCTTCTTGTAAGAGATGAAGGAATTCTTTCAACTAATTTCACACAGATGTTACTTTCAGTGCTGCAGCACTGAACACATGAAACTGATTTTATAACTCATGGCTACAGTGGTTCAGTGCTGCTCCATCAGCAGTCTTCAGCCCTGGGCTTGATTCTAGATGTGTGACCACATGGGCTTTCACCAGCTGCACTGGTTTCCTCCTAAAAATCACACAAGAAATGTTTAGTGGGGTCTCTAAATTATTCTTGCAAGAGCTCCCCAAGTCTAGCGTTCTAGTCGTAGAGACTCTGGGTTACCACAGACATGGCTAAGAATAAATCAGACCAACTTGCTGAAAGCAAGCAGAAAGCATAATAAAAATAATAATAATAATTGCTTACACTTATATAGCGCTTTTCTGGACTGCACTCAAAGCACTTTACAGGTAATGGGGACTCCTCTCCACCACCACCAATGTGCAGCATCCACCTGGATGATGCGTCGGCAGCCATAGTGCACCAGAACACTCACCACACATCAGCTATTAGTGGGGAGGAGAGCAGAGTAATGAAGCCAATTCATAAACAGGGATTATTAGGAGGCCATGATTGATAAGGGCCAATGGGAAATTTTGGCTAGGACGCCGGGGTTACACCCCTACTCTTTTCGAGAAACGCCCTGGGATTTTTCAGGACCTCAGTTTTACGTCTCATCCAAAGGACGGCATCATTTTATAGTACAGTGTTCCTACCACTATACTGGGGCATTAGGACCCACATGGACAGCAGGGTGAGCGCCCCCTGCTGGCTCCACTAACACCTCTTCCAGCAGCAACCTTAGTTGTTCCCAGGAGGTCTCACATCCAGGTACTGGCCAGGCTCACACCTGCTTAGCAGCAGTGGGCTGCCAGTTGTGAGTTTCAGGGTGACATGGCTGCTGGATATCACCATGTTATCATCAAAGCATGCTATCAAATCACACCCACACGCAAAATAAATACCAGTTTAAAAGGCTCTTTCATGTGAAGATGTAACCCTTTATTCACTTTTTAAAAAGTCAATTTATGAACCCCAGGGACATTAAAATTATTAAAGAAAAGTAATGTTTTAACTGGTATTGCAGTTAAATGTTTGACTCATGAATAGCAAATATTTTAGTTCAAGCACAACATTTTATATAAACATCAATTGGATTAGTGGTTGCTTTCTCTCAGGTGTATTCTTACAAAGATTTGGCCTCTTAATTATGTTACTTGCATCATGACAATAGTCTTCACTTTATACACAAATAAAAGACTTACCCAGATCACATGACACAGGCATCCAGTTTCCAACGCTATGTTGCCTATAGCTCTTTTATTTGATGACAGTACTCTTTTAAATACTAACAATGGTAGAGGCTGCACAAGGGCTTAAGTCAGACCATTACCAGTTATGTCTGAGGTAAGAACCCATGACAGCACATGTAATGAAATCACAAGAAACATTGAGATGCTGCTTTTTTCTTTGCTGCAGGCAAAACCAGATCTATTGTCTGTGCTAACAAATGGATGATGTAAAAGTCCAGTCCAACAAACTCAAAAGATTAAATTACTCTGCTTCCTATGTTCCCACGTATGTTTTTGCTGATGATTAGCAAATGCCAATGAGGGCAGTGTGGTGTCACAGTCTGTCTGGTATCACTGGGGCCCTGTGTTCAATTCTGAACCCAGGTGCTATCTGTGTGGAGTTTGTATGTTCTCCCCATGTTCACATGGGTTTCCTCCCACAGTCCCAAGATAAACTGGTATGTTAATTGGCTTCTGGAAAAATGGCCTCGGTGTGTGTGTCTGTTTGTTCCCTGCAATGGACTGGTGTCCCTGCCTTGCACCTGTTGCTAACCAGAACAGGTTCCTGCTCCCCTGCAACCCTGACTTTGATGAAGAGGTTAGAAAATGAATGGGTCACAGAATGACTTCATGGTGACTTTTTTTAAAAGAGCCTTTTTGGGCAGCACTGTGGCATAGCAGTTAGCTGCAACATCTCAGTGTTACGGTACTGGGCTGGAACCCAACTTTAGTGCATTCTGTGTGGAATTACAATGTTTTTTTTTCAACCCCAATTGATCTGGTTTCCTCTCACCTCATAAAGGCATGCTGGTTTAGCTAGTTGCCATCTCTAAATTATCCATGCGTGTGTCTTGCAATGAACTGGCATGACATTCAGTATGTAATAAATAAGCCACTTTCTGATAAAGGCTGGAAGGCATTCCCATTTAAACCTTGGATGCACACAGCACGTCAAAAACGTTCGTAACCGCTGGGGATAACCAATCGATTACTGACAAAGAACGACAGCCGAGAATTAGATGCGTGTGACGAAGTTGAGTATTTAGGTGTATCGAGATGTGTCTTAATTCGCTTAAACGAGCCCCCTCATGCAGAGTGAGAAGTTTAACCAAGAGGATTCCGTTTTCTTGGAAAGGACAGTGCAGGGGAAATGCGGGAGGCGGAATGCGAAAAGTTGGATTTTGCGTATTATATACAACTTCACAAAATGACGGTGGTACCTATTAGGATTTAGAACAGCTAAGTCGAATGGTTTTCTTGTCGTCACCCCTCCCAAACATACGTTTAGAATTTCTGTTTATGTCTTTCTCAGGGCTATTCAATAATTAATAATTTTTCTTCTGGTTTACCTCGTTTTTACGTCTTATTCATGAGTCATTCTGTTGACAGTTTTCTTCTCAGCAAAGTGCAAAGTTAAATCTGATTGGTTTCAGCCGATCCATCATGTTTACGCACTATTCCCACAAATCACTGGTTATGCTGGTTGAAAATCCTTTTCAAAGTCATTGGCAAATTTAAAGTTTCACTAAGTGTAGGTCTATGCAAAATAGGTCAGGAGCTTAAACCAATTTGAACATTTTGGAGCAACGACTAACTTTCCTAAAATGTTCACTTAAAAAAGGAAAATAAAATAAACAAGAAAACTTGACCACACAAAACCGAAAGTTCCGAGTTAGGGTTCATACCTTTTATAAAAAATAGAATGTATTAATTATATTCATTGAGCGATTGTAAAACGCACATTTTTATATCAATTTTACCATACTGTAATATTCTAATGCATTTTCAGTTATATTAACTTTGAGTACCCAAAGCATATAAGTTTCTTGGAGACACATAAAAAAGTACTTACTGGGGTATCTGAAGTAAAAGTCGTTTTCTATGTCGCTGGTTATATTTTGTTGCTTCTTGAATTCAGGCCAGTGAGCGTCGGCCTCCGGGTTATAGCGGATGAAAATGCCGAACAGGATGATCATGGCGGTCTGCCAGATGAAACAGACCACAGGCAGCTTCAGCCGAACATTGGTGTTCTTGGGTCTTTCAAAGGACTGGCAAAGACTTTGCAAGATTCCCATTCTGAAAATGCGAGGTGCAAGCTCTGGCCCTTTAAAACTATCAGAACGTCTCAGAGATGCAGATTGAAATTGCTCATCCTTGAATCTATTTTATAGACCAGGTATGGAGGTGTGTCCCTCGAAAGGTATCTGTTTGGTCCCTCCAGACACACCTCCAGAACAAAACTGTGAACAGTACACCCCCTAAAACGAATCTCTTCAGAGGTTTACCATCTATTAAATAAAACACGTTTTAACGTTAAAGAGCAGAAGTATTTTTAAAATTGGAAATTGATATCACATATTGTATTATATAGGAAGGACACAGTTGTGATGAACAATGACAGAAGAATACACTTTTTTTTTTCGAAAAAACCGAAAGACCTCAGACATTTTTGTTACTCATCTAGTACAGTACCTGCTAAATCGCGGACCTGGTCCTGTTTTGGATTATTTGGGATTTTCCACGGCATTCCAGACATCAGGAATTGTCACACAGCTAGAATCCTCTCCCAAGGAGAAAACAGTAGGCAATAAAAATGTAATAGGCTGTCGATGTATATTTCGCTTTTCGCCGCGTGTGGAAAACTCAGATTAATGACCCAGTTCTAAAGAAGTAAATAACATTTATATTTTATTTTGGTTAAAATAATAAACCTAACGAGAAGACAACGAAACACGTAACGGGTCACTGTCAGAGTTTTTCAATCAAGAAATATTCAGCAGCAGCCTATAAACAACATGACAGATTATGGTTTTCTACTGTACTTTGTAAAGGGAATCATGTTACACATAATTATTGTATAATGACTGACTGGCGTGGCATAACATTGTATAACAAAGACAATGTTGCAAGAACTAAGAACTGTTGCAAAGAGCGACCGCCCGACTAGTCTGCTGCCTTTTGCCATTCAAGTACAATTTTTTCCCAAAATAATTTTAACATACTTCATTTAGCCCTTTTATAAGCATGAGCACCATGTATTGAATCTATTAATAGTACACTGAACTCATTTAATTTTTGTACAGTAATAAGAAAAAGGATAAGTTCATTTTTAAATTGATGTGTACTGCAATATGAACAATAATATCAGACATCTATTTCTGATTTTTACATAAACATATTTGATCAACTGACTCTTTTGCTTTCTTAATTATTTCTGGTAAGGTTGTGATTTGTTTTTGATTGTTGTTCATATTTAATGGCATGAATAAAAGATGAGGTGTTATATTTGTGTCATTTCCCCTTTTCCCGGTTTATTGCCCCATTTTGAAATGCACAATGTGAGATATCAGCTTGATCTTGACCCGGGTTGTATGTCTAGTACTGACAAACATTTTCTTCTTCCCAGAGTGGGGAAAATATTTTTTTAAAAAGTGTAATTGTACCAGCATAGTTCATGGGGATGGTGGATAAACTGCTCGTAAAATAATCAGACCATCTTTAAGTTATTATTCCAAAACATAAACCTAGCAGGTCACTGTCTAGATCACCTTAAGCTGGAACTTTCAGAAGCGGGAAACTAGCATTGCGGCTTTGCACCACTGGTATATAAACTGTTCTACTAGGAAAACAAAATAATTTTATTATAATTGAAGTTGGGAAATTTTACAGACGAAGTTCTAACAACCAAAGTGCCTAAAATATGCATTTGACTGTTGCCTTATTGCAGACATATTTAAAACTGATTTGGGATAAAGAAGTTCTACTTTGTTTTATTCATAAACAGGAAGAATAGATATACTGCAGGGAGCACTATGGAGGTTTATTTTGAGACTCTTTCGGATACACCTTCCAAAATATTTTAGAAATTGTGGAACAATGGCATTTTTGTACACCTCTTTCGTGGGTTCTTGTTATTCTAAAAAACAAACAAACAAACAAACAAACAAACAAACACATTAAAGCATATATTATGAAATTGTAGCAGTGAAATAAAAAAATGAATCTCTCTTCAAGGGGAATAGTGACTCAAATGGAACAGAGAGTCAAAGTGCTGAGAGAAAAATTTTGTTTTAACAAACATGTTGGAGAATAATAATAATAATAATAATAATAATTGCTTACACTTATATAGTGCTTTTCTGGACACTCCACTCAAAGCGCTGTACAGGTAATGGGGATCCCCTCCACCACCACCAATGTGCAGCCCCACCTGGATGATGCGACGGCAGCCAATAGTGCACCAGAACGCTCCCCACACACCAGCTCTCAGTGGGGAGGAGAGCAGAGTAATGAAGCCAGTTCAGGGATGGGGATTATTAGGAGGCCATGATTGGTAAGGGCCAATGGGATATTTGGCCAGGACGCCGGGGTTACACCCCTACTCTTTTCGAGAAATGCCCTGGGATTTTTAATGACCACAGAGAGTCAGGACCTCGGTTTTACGTCTCATCCTAAGGACGGCGCCTGTTTACACTATAGTGTCCCCGTCACTATACTGGGGCATTAGGACCCACATGGACCGCAGGGTGAGCGCCCCCTGCTGGCCCCACTAACACCTCTTCCAGCAGCAACCTTAGTTTTTCCCAGGAGGTCTCACATCCAGGTACTGACCAGGCTCACACCTGCTTAGCTTCAGTGTGTTGCCAGTTGTGAGTTGCAGGGTGATATGGCTGCTGGCATTGACATATGGAGCAGAGCATAACTATAGCATTCTTAGACTTCTAGCATGTCCATGGTGCATCTCTGTGATTAACTGTCAAACCTGCCCTATCCCAGGCCAATATAACAGTCACCCAAAGGTTGCTCATGGCTTTCTAGTCTACTGGACTGATCTACTCCATACCAACCATGTGCATAATACTAACATAATCAACCTTTTCATGAAAGTTGGAATGAACAGCCACGTGTGTGAGAAAAATTATTTAAATCTGGGGGTGCATGATGAAAGCTGAAGGCATGTAATATATATATATATAAAAAATTCAAAAGACAAGGTAAATTTTTCTATAAATATACCCATATTCATCCATAGGCTATTTTTGTGTGGTACATATATGATTTAAAGAATTCAAACAGCTCATCTTGTTCATTTCAATCTCCTTAATTTTGCAGTTCTAATTTTCATCCATTCTGGTAATTTTCTGATTGTCTCCTGCTTTTCCATTCTGCGGTGTCAGTATCCAACGCTGAGGGGGAGAAAGGGGGGTCGTTTGTGGATGTGAGCTTGTTTACTGTCTGTTTGTCAAAGCACTCAGCACTGCTTCATTAAACTGAGCCCTGCCAAGTCAGGGAGCATTTCCTTTGGGCTTCCCTTCACTTCACAGGCCACTGAGCTGTCCCAGCTCCAACGTGCTTGCCTGTACTAGAAATCCTTTCTGTTAGTTTAATTCCATTTCACGAATGCATGCGCGATATGACTGCTTCTTTTAATGTGATGAATTGAGGAGTGGTATTCCATGCTTCCACGTCTCTTGCATAATTATTACGGGCTTAGGGTCCTTACCTTCCTTAGGAGGCATGTTTTACCTTTTGGGGATTAGAGCTTTTGGAGTTAAATGGCTTGTTTTATACGCAGTTCACTTGGTTTAAACTCTATTGGGAAATTTGAGCCAGTATTCCAGCAGAATGACCTTTAATGAGATAGTATAAACCACTGAGGCTTTTTTGTTGAGAGTTGTGTCAGTTTGTTAGCTGCTTAAGAACAAATAAAGGTTAATTCCCCACTGAAAACTGGAAATAAAGAAAAGAAAAATGACTGCTTGAATGTTTAAATTTCCTCAGGTTTCACCATATGACAGACATAATAAGGGCACAACATCCAAATCATTGTGCTTTTTCTCTTTGAACCACTGGATTGATTGGAGTTTCACTGAATTGTCTGGGAGACAGTATCTAGACAATTGCTGGATTCATTATTTCATATCAGCACCACATTTGTCCTAGTGTTTCCACTGGCTAGGCAGTTCAGTGATCTAGAATCACCTGACAGGTTCTCAGAACTGGGTGTTAACAGCACAGCACAGAAAGTCACAGGTCACATCACCGGAGGATGTGCCAAAAACAGCAGAAGTACCTGTAAACCTGTAATTACTGACAATATTCCAAAGGTTCAAAATGAAAGTCTATGTTATCCATCTAGCCAGTCTGGATAAAATTAGAACATATTGTATAAGTGGAGTGCACTGAGACAGTGCTCACCATGAAAAAGGCATTCTAGGAAATAATAATGGAAACTAACTTGAAAATGGACTATTTTAATTAATGTGATTTCTTTGCTATAATTCTGCCTTTTCTGCTTGTCTCATGTTTACCCTCTAGCGCCAGTTCAAGCGTACTGTTCTGTCGCTTGATCATTTTATTAAATCAGGTTCTAAGCAGTCATTCGTTACAGACAGAAACCAGACACTCTGACGCCCACAGCTATCGCTCATCTTTCCCAAAGGCCTCACATGACTTCAGACGTTGGTAATGACAGGTGAATTTCATAAGACACCTTTTGAAATGGCTATATGTCTTTTTAGAACCATAGGTGTAAATTTGTGTTAAAATCATGTGCAGGGGAAAAAGACTGAGTGACATTTTAAACATTTAGATTTTTTAAACATTTAAAAAGCCAAGAGTTCCTCAGCCAGGAGACAGGAGACAAAGACATTTTGTTGCTACTAACACTGCAATTTTTACAATATGCCCACATAACAGCATACAATATGCCTAAATAACAGCGTGAGAAAAACATGCAACACATTGAGTGTATTGACATGTTTTTCAAGTTCAGTAATACATTTTTATGTGACATACAGAATTGAATTCCCTTTTTTTGCCTGGTGTGTACTCAGATACCAGCTTTCATTTGGAAATGTTTGTGTTAATCTGCCAATGAAGTGTTTCAGTAATTATGTTTTTTTTAACATCCTGGTGAATGCTTTCGAGCTGAATGACCATTCCTTCAAAGCAAAAGTCACTTAGAAATTTATATTTTGATGTCATGTGTTGGCCTTCCATAACTTTTAAAGCCACGACAATCATGAAAATCATGAGAGAACTATGTTTCACACTCAGAGGAAGATCAACTTCCTTGAATATGTGCCATGTTTGGCTGTAATACAGTGCCATTTAATTTTCATTTT